GCGTCTGCACCCGCTTGCACAGTCGCCCCACTGGGATGAGGCTGCAAACGCAGGGCGGAGGCAGTGTATTTCTGAGGCGGCAGCTGCGGCACCGTGCCGGTGGTCGCACTGTTGTTTTGCGGCCGCTTCTCCACTCGTGCCTCCGGGCGCATGGCGCAAATTCACTGGCGTGTCTTCTGGCACCGCCCCCGCACGCGCATTGCGCCTGCAGATAAGACCTCGTGGCCTTCCAGTTGGTGGGGACGCGTTTCCCACTGCAGAGTGCCCCAATGCTGTGCGTCTTTGCATTCATCCTGCCTTCCCCCTTTTTGAGTTCCGGACAGCCACGTCGTGGGCAAGACGAGGCCCAAGAGGTGCGTATTCGTATCTACATGTATGTGGCTGCGCAAATATGAGATGCTCTCCCATAAGTGGCATATATTGCTTTGCGTATTGGCGTTGGTGTGCTCTCCTCGTCGCTTATCTGTCCCTGCGCGTTGTCTGCTCCAGCCGGTTACGCCGCGCACTTGGTGGGCACGCCCAATGCATATGTATATATATATACACACACACACACATTGCTCTGTAGGCTTCCGTAAGACACCTGCCGGTGGTGGTGCGTTGAGTTCTCTGCTTTTTCCCCTCTGTCCCGCTCTCTGCTGTTGCCACTGCCGCGTGCAGGTTTTAGTTTGGCTCTGTTCCCCCTAGAACACTTGCTATGGACTCCATTGACCAGTTTCTAGAGACCGTCGGCAAGGCCGTCTGCCCCCGGGAGTCGGAGGTGAAGAAGTTATGCAACGTCGCCCGCACCATTCTTGACGCGGAGGCCAACACCCACACGATGCGCGCGCCGTGCACCATCGTCGGCGACATCCACGCCCAGTTTTTCGACCTCATCGAGATGTTTCGCGTGGGCGGGGACGTCCCCGACGTGAACTACGTGTTCATGGGCGATTACGTTGACCGCGGGCACCACGGCGTGGAGACGTTCCTTCTGCTGGTTGCTCTCAAGGTGAAGTATCCCAATCGCGTCGCACTGCTCCGCGGCAACCACGAGTCGCGCCAGATCACGCAGGTGTACGGTTTCTATGACGAGTGCCTCCGGAAGTACGGCAGCGTGAATGTGTGGCGCTACTGCACGGAGGTGTTTGACCTCTTGCCGCTTGTGTGCGTGGTGGAGGAGAAGATCCTGTGCGTTCACGCGGGGCTCTCGCCCATGATCTCCACGATGAGCCAGATAGATGCCATCGAGCGCCGCTGCGAGGTGCCGCACGAAGGCGCCATGTGCGACCTGCTGTGGTCCGACCCGGACGAGATCGACGCCTGGGGCCTCTCCCCGCGCGGCGCCGGTTACCTGTACGGCGAAGAGGTGGTGCGCACGTTCCTCGAGACCAACAGGCTAGAGCTCCTGTGCCGCTCGCACCAGCTTGTGATGGAGGGCTACCGGGTGATGTTCAACGACACGCTTGTGACGGTGTGGTCGGCCCCGAATTACTGCTACCGCTGCATGAATGTGGCGTCCATACTGGAGCTAGACGAGCACCTCAACAAGAACTTCAAGCTCTTTGAGGCGGCCCCGGATGATGCATACGAGCCCGCGAAGGCGGCTTTGCCAGAGTACTTCCTGTAGTGGGCGGGCACGGTGTGCGTCTTCGCGGTGCGGGCGCACAAGGGCATCAACTAGGCATTGCAACGGCGGTTGTGTCTGCGTCCCGCGTTTTCCTCGTCTTGGGGCCCCAGCAGGGGTTCGGTTCCCGGCCGCCGGTGCCTCCGCGTTCGTTGCCGGCACGCGCCGGCTCTTCCTCCGTACGTCCCGGGGGCGTCGTGCGCCCTCGGAGGCGCGAGCTGGGGCAGATGCACGCGAATGCACGCGCACTGGGGAGGGCGGCGTCGCGTCAGGCGACGGCAGGGAGGCGGGAAGGTGGTGGCGCGCGGCTGGGGGAGTGGGGAACTGCGTGTGGTGCCGTGGCTGGGGGCAGGAAAGGGGAGCATAGGCGTGCCGGGCGGCGCCGGGGACAGCCAGAGACGAAGCAGGAGGAAGTGCGGAATGCCAATGGGGTGGGGTGAGGGGCGTCTGCACCCGCTTGCACAGTCGCCCCACTGGGATGAGGCTGCAAACGCAGGGCGGAGGCAGTGTATTTCTGAGGCGGCAGCTGCGGCACCGTGCCGGTGGTCGCACTGTTGTTTTGCGGCCGCTTCTCCACTCGTGCCTCCGGGCGCATGGCGCAAAGTCACTGGCGTGTCTTCTGGCACCGCCCCCGCACGCGCATTGCGCCTGCAGATAAGACCTCGTGGCCTTCCAGTTGGTGGGGACGCGTTTCCCACTGCAGAGTGCCCCAATGCTGTGCGTCTTTGCATTCATCCTGCCTTCCCCCTTTTTGAGTTCCGGACAGCCACGTCGTGGGCAAGACGAGGCCCAAGAGGTGCGTATTCGTATCTACATGTATGTGGCTGCGCAAATATGAGATGCTCTCCCATAAGTGGCATATATTGCTTTGCGTATTGGCGTTGGTGTG